CCAAAAGCTGCCTGCCTGTTGGTGCTGCTGCTCCTCAGCAGGGCAGAGGCTGTGCCTGAGAGAAGGAAGTATAAAAATAGCTTCTTGTTTCCAGCACTGGCTTTTGTGCTGGTCCTCTTTGCCCTCCCTGTGAATGCCTGCATGGATCTTTACCTCATCTGGAGCTGGGAGAGAAGGAAGAAGCCACGAGCCGCTCAGTGCTTGGCACAGAAGGAACATGGTAATGTCACCACCTAAACACTCTAGAGAAACAGGTGAGAAAGCAGACAGAGTTCTCAGCACAAAGTTTTAGAAATGCCAAGGTGGTTGATGCAGTGTCGTCACATATCCAGGACCATAGGAAATGACCTCAAGCTATACCAGGGAAGGTTTAGATCGGATATTAGGAAAAATTCCTTCACTGAAAAGGTGGTCAGGTAACCTCAAAGGGACAGAAAGCTGAGAAAGTTAAGATTTCTCTGGCCAGTTGATGTCTGTTGTCAACTGTGGCCAGGAATGAGATTCTGGGACACGATGAAAGTGCTCTGAAGGGCAAGGATGTGGAGTGATATCAGGCTGCAAGCCTGAAAACCCTTGAGCCACCAAAACCAGGAAGAGCAAGGCCAGCGTTGCATTCCTCTGTGTCCTGCAGCATCCCACGGGCTGAGCTTGCTTCACAACCTGCAGGGGTTTTTAAACTGCAATGACCTGCAGTATTTTTAAACTGACAGTGAGGAGGTTTAGATTGGATATTGGGATGAAATTGGTGGCTGCGAGGGTGGTGATGCCCTGGCACAGGCTGTCCAGAGAAGCTGTGATTGCTCCATCCCTGAAGTGTTCCAGGCCAGTTTGAACAGGCCTTGGTGCAAATAGTGGAAGGTGTCCCTACCCATGGCAGAGGGTGGACTGGGACGAGCTTTGAGGTCCCTTCCAACCTAATCCATTCTGGGATTCTATGTCAAGAGCAAAATGCAAGTCAGAAACCTGCTCCCTAGCTGACCACATGCCGGCTGTCACAAACAGCCAAGGTTTAAAGCAGCTATTTAATCCTTTTTGCATCCCTGTTCCGCACAAAGAGCCACACACGTGGTGGAAGCACTGATGAAGTTTACTGATGGTGTTTGGGTGGAGATCTCCCGCTGCTTTCTGGAAAACACAATTTGGCCTTCTCATCTCTTGGCACTGCGGGATGCGCTCGGACACGGACAGCGCGTCCAGGATGACGCTGGAATGGCAGAGGCTCGGTCCTTGGGCCCCGTGGGTGTGCTGGATGTCGCTGCAGTGGGGCCGGTGCCGGGACCCCTGGGGTGTGTGTGGGGTGCGGCTGTGGGTCCCGGGGGGGCCCGGCGGGGACGGGCTGTGGGCGCGGGGGGGGCGAACCGACCGCGCCCCGTGCACCGCGCGGCCCCGCCCCGGCCCCGCCCCCCCAGCTCGGCCAATCAGCGCCGCTCCTCCCCGCGGCCGGCCCCGCCCCTCGCCTCCCGTTGCCATCCCCGCCGCGCGCGAGCGCGCGAGCGCCCTGGGCCCCGCCCCCCGCTCGCGCTCAGCCTCGCCAATGGGAGCGAACGGAGCCGCCCGCGGCCCCGCCCCCGCGCGCGCGGGGCTCGCGCCGCTGGCGGGCCCGGCGCGGCCTGCACGTCGGCGGCGGCGCGCGCACGGAGCCGCGGCGGCGGCGGCAGCGGCAGCGCAGCGGGGCCGCCGCGGGGCTCGGCCGGGACCGCGCATGGCCGAGCGGCGGCGGCGGGGCCCGGGCACGGCGCGGGCGGAGGTGAGCCCGGGCTGCGGCGGCGGGGAGCGCCCCGCGGGACCTGTCCAGGTCCTGACGCGGTGGCAGGTGCCGTTGCCGGCGGCGGCCGGCCCGCACCTGTTGAGAGCGGCGGGGGCTGGGCGGGCCGGGCCGTGCCGGAGGTGCCGGTGCGGGGGCGCAGTGCGGCGCGGACCGGGGCCCGGCCGTTCCCGGCGGGGGCGGGCGCCCGGCAGGGCTCGCCCGGGCAGGGGCCGCGGCGGCGGCGTCGAGGCTGTTTTAGGAGGGTCGCGGTACCGCGGGTACCACGGGACGTTTGGCCGTGGCCGCCCGATCCGGGGGCAACTCCCCGGCGGGACCGGCCGCCCCTTGCCGTGCCTGCCCGGGGCCGCGGGGAGCGGAGAGCCCCCTGTGCCCGGCACCCGCTGCCGCGGGGGGCGGCTTGGCTGCCTTGCCCTTCTCCCGGTACCCCCGGGCCGCCGCCGCGCTCCTCCGGCGTCGCCGGGTCCGGCCGCCCCCGGCACCGCCGCCCGCCCTCTGCAGTGGGGAGGCGGCGCGTCCTTGGAGAGCAGCTCGGGCGTGAAACGCGGCTGCACATCCCAGCGCCTTCCCTTCCCGGCTGGATAACCCCACCAGGGCACTTTGCCATCTGTTGCCGTGGCCCCCGGTGGGTTTCGTTGTTCCTTTGGGGTTTTTTTGGATCTGTCCTGTGCTGGAGCAAAACTGCAGTCGTGAGATCTGTGATTGTGCTTTTGAAAGTCTGGTTTGCTTGAAATAGCAGAAATAAAAGGATTCCGAAGGGCACCTGTCTGGTGGCCGAGGGGCACTGCTGGCCTGGGCCACTCCTGCTCTCTGCCCATCTTCACCTTGGACCTTTCAGGACTCAGGTGAGGCAAGTACTGGTCATGGCATGGAGGGTCTACAGAGCGTTCAGGACGCTGCACTCAGGCTGGGGAAACCACAGAATCGGTGGATGAGCCACCATCAGCCGTGCTGGTCCTTGGCCTGGGTTTTTTTCTTCTTTTTTCTTTTTGAATTATCTACTTTTTGGGGGGGGGAATCTAAAGGAAAAAACCCCTTCATGGGTGTTTTTTAGCATAAACAATATTAAGGTCTCGTTTCCTACTGTTTTGTATTTTACTGAAGTGGTGAGCTTAGTGGAGCTGTTGGGATCTCCCAGGCACCCTGCTTGCTATGTGAGTTACTCTGTCACTCCTGAGAGTGAAGTTGTAGTGTTGTTCTCTGAGCTGTTTTATGCTGGAGGGTGGCAGCAGGCCAACCTTCCCGGATACACAAGATGTTTAGAATAATTAGTGATGGAATACCCTTTTAGAATAATTGTTTGGGTTTATCTAGCACTCACTTGTAGCGATATCTACCTCTAAAAATAGGCAGGCCTCTTTGTAATGAGCCTCGTAGTATAAACAAGTCGTATCTTGAATGACTGTTGTTACTTTTGGGATGTCCGAGATGCATGCCTTTGGGGTTTTTCCAAATCTTCTGTCTCTTTTTTTTTTTCTTTCTGCAGTGAGCTATGTTTCTTGGCCCTAACAGTGTGTAGTTGTGTGCACTGACCAGAGGCAGGGCTCAGTAACCCTCTCTCTTCAGGGCTGGCACAGCTGCTCAGAAAAGCTTCCTACTGCTCCTATGAGTGCCCAAGGTTGGGCAGTGCTGGTTTTTCCATGAAATCCATGCTCATATGGAGATGGCTAGCAGTGGGCTGTGCCAGGTGGCTGTGCATCACCCCTGCTCTGAGGCACTGCCCTCTGTGAATTCCGCACAAAGCCCTGCTTACCTGTGCTCTGAGTCCTGGGTTTTCCGTGAGACAGGGACAGAGCAGCTCAGATGTGATCCTGGTTCTGCTGCTCCTTCCTGGGATGCCTTCCCCCAGTGTCCCAGGGTGCAGCTGTGTGAGTGTTCTTGCTTTCAAGAATGAGGAGTGAGGATGGCATTTTCTCGTATTTTGCTGTGTGGTTTATCAGAGCGTGACACTTGAGCATTGGCCCAGCCTCTCACGTGTACATGTTTTTTTGAGTTTGATTTCAGCAGCCAGCATGCTGGCCGAAGCTTCTTTGTGTTGCTGATGTTCAAAAGCACTGGCTCCTCAGCTCAAGAAATTAAAAATAGCCAACTTTTTCAGCAGGAGAAGTATTTGCTCTATGAGCACTTGTTTTCTGAGAAGGTACCAGAAAGGTCATTGTGCTCAGTGTTTGAAACAGGAGTGTTTCATAGCTTTGATCACACTGTGCTCACAGACCCCAATCCACTTTGATATTGCCCCCAGTTATCCAGATTTATCTGCTCAGTTGGAAGTCTAGTGTCCTTTTTTGGGCTGTATGTGTTTTGGGAATGGAAATGTGGTTCCAGTAAACCTCTGAACACAAAGGTTTTCTGGAGAACTTTTATTATAACTAAATGTTTTTTTTTCCTCTTTTAAAAGCTACCCATGTTTTGGTTTAAGTGAGTAAAACCTGAATAGCTGGGCTTACTAGCTCAGACAGTTTGAGACTGGGACCAGGTGAGGCTCTGCTACTCCCTAGCAAAGTCATGCCTGCCCTTGGCAAACCCAGGCTGCTGCCTGTAGTTGTTCCCAGTCAGAGATTCTGCATGGCAATGAGGGGTTCCTGCTAAACAGCGTGATGAAAACGTGAGTGTAACGTGCCCTCTCAGCAGTCAGTGTTGTTGAGGTGTCACCTGTGACTCGGGGAGGTTTTGGGGATGGCAGTGGTGGGTTGTGCTGCAAGGGCTGGGTTATATGTTGGTGCCAGGGTGGTTTCAGGTGAGGCTGAAATGTTGTCTCCAGGTGCTTGCAGTGAGTGCCTGGTTAGGCTGATGCCTCTTGTCTTTGAAATCACAGCAATGCAGGACTCTTGAGGGTCTGTGCTTGGGTGCCTGAGAATATCTGGTGTGATGGAGAGAGAGCAGAGCTCTTTCTGTTTCTGCAACTGCTGAAACCAGTAGGGGCTTGGCATGTTTGAAACTCAGGCCATCCAGCTGGTGCAGTGTGGATTTCGGCTTATATTTAAGTACTGAAGATTGAAACTGTGTGTTTGGGCTGTATTTATCGGTGGACACTATTATTTATGTATCTTGGTTTTAAAGGAAATACCTTTGTAGTAGAAATGCTGCCTGACCAAAAAAAAAAAAAAAAAAACCAAACCCTTGGTGAAATGGTTATGTAAGCAAGTGAAATGGCATTTTAAAGCAAAAGTTTCTTTCCTGTTTGGAGACAGTGTGGCTTTTTTTTTTTCTCTTTCCTGCTGCTTAACATTTTTAAAATCCTTTTAGTGAATGTTTTTTGTATGTTAGGTATGAGAAATAGTTATTTTTGCAATTTAAGTCCTTAAAGAGGTCATCAGCAGGCTCTGGGAGCTCGCAGGAGCCAGATGTGAGTATTTGGGGCTGTAGCTGACCAAAGCAGCAGGACATGTGTGCAGTTAAGTAATAATTAAGGTTTAAAAAACCCCAAAGAAACCCATGTAACTGCTGTGACTGTGGGAGCTCAGGGGACGCTCAGTAGTCATCTTCTTTAGAATGTCTGGTTGCAAAGGGATTCGGGATCTTCTTCTCTTTGCCTCCGGGTCAGCTGTTGTGTGTGTCTGTCCCCAAGCCAAGGGAATCCATCACCTTCACAAAAGCTGCCGGGGTTACCTTGAGCTTCTGTTCCCAGCAGGAGCACAGGGCTGAGTCAGTGCTGGCTGCCCAGGGCTGTGACTCAGTGCTGTCCCCTCGAATGCACGGCCAGGGTGTGCCTGTAACCTCATTCCAGAGCTGTCCTCTCTCAGTATCGCCTGCTTAGAGGGGTTTGGCAATGCTGGGCCGCTTTCCTTAATTGCGTGTGTTGGTGGAAGTTGGTTGTTACTGAGTTTTTTTTCTGTGTGATACTGAGCATCTGTGTAAGTGTCAGGGAGCTCTGAGGCAAGAAGCTTCTCCTGTGTACAGTATTATGGTTTTGTCTTCGTGGGCTGTGTTCTTTCTTTACGTTTTATTTTAACTTTCTTATTTTAAAAATGATTTTGTCAGATTTATGTGCTTGAAGAGGAAGGGTGCTTTGTTTTTCTTTTGGAGAAATGTCTTCCCTGATGCTCCAGGGTTAGGTCTGTTTGTGGCTCTGTTTCCTGAAGTGAGGAGAGCTGTCTGTACTTCTAACTCAGGATTGCTTCATAAAAATGTCTTTATTGGGAGCTCTGGCTATCCTCCTGTGCTTCTAAGCTCGATTTCCCATTGCCTGGCATCACACTGTCAGTGCCCTTGAACGAAATTGGTCAATACCTTGAAAAGTCCATCAGATTTGGCAAGAGAGTGGATGTCACAGGTAAGTATTGAGAAGTTGTATGAGCACAAGAATCTGTGAGGAAGGAAATCTCAGATGAGTGCTCTGCTACAAGAAAAGCTGTTGCTGGAATGCAAATATTATTGGACAGAGGAGCTCTGTGGTAGTGAGACAAACAGGAAATCAAATTTCATAAGTAGTTCCAGTAAAAGGTAGGTCCTTATTTTCCTAAGTATCCCTTATTTTCCTTTGTGAAAGTGGAGAGGAGTGATCTAAGAAGCATTCTTGTATCATCGTAGGTGACAAAGGGAAAAAACAAAAAGTTTGGGTACGGTCCCTCACCCTTCCCTGGGGGCTGAAGCACCAGGGAGATGAACGAAGATTTTGAATTTCCCTATTAGGGCTCTTGCAGTTTGGAATAATGTCCTTTTATAGGTGTAGGAAAGCACCGGGGTCAGAATTTTTCCATGCAGAGTGCTTTTGGCAGAGATGCAAAAGGAAAGGCTGCTCAGCAGATTGCAGAGGAGTTTATGAGTTTAGTTGATTTTAAAGAGGTTTTAACAGAATGGAGTTCTTGGACCTAGGTGAGATGAAGAGTATCCTGAGTATCCTTATTTGGAGAAAACATGCGAGGGATATACCATATATTGAATTTAAAGTAGAAATCTTCCTCAGTTGGGGGTGAGTTTGGTGCTGCATGGCAGAAGGTAGTTTCTGATTACTTTGCTGCCTGGTGCTTTTGTTATTTTGATAATTTTTAAGTTGCACAAACAGTATAATGATGGGCCTTGGGTGAAATCATGTGTGAGTATTATACTAATGTCAATTTATCTTTTGTTCCAAACTCAGTTTACCAGTGGTTTCTCATTTTTGCTATTAATTTATCATCTCAACTCTGAAAAGAGATGAACTGTTGAAAATTTGCTCAAAAAGAGAGCAAGCACATATGCTAAACACTAGTTTCTTTCATTTATCACATGTAATGTGAATATCAAGTTTTTACGTAGGAATTGTGAAGCAGCCTCAGCTAGGAGTATTTTTTTCCTATTTAGTCTGTGTAGATTTTGAGATTTGCAGAGATAGTTAATACTTACCTCTGCCATTCTGGAGGGCTTCTGCTGGAAGTGTTCAGTGTGTCTAAAATGAGGCTGATTTTGATTTAGGTTGATTTACTCAGCTCTTCAACTATATTAGCAAATGAGCCTTTTAAGTTTAAGCTTTCATTGCTTTTTTCCTTGTTTACTTATGCTCTAATATTTCTGCACGGTCTGCTGGAAAACTATTAGAGGGGAAAAATACCTTTACCTCTTTTCTATAGATGCAGATTTTATAAATCCCTGTTTACAGAGGCCATTCTGTATCAAAATGCATTTTAATTTTTCACCTCAAATACTGAGCACCTAATAAAACAACCCTAAAACTCTTTAGATGGGTCCCAGTAAGAGCGTAGTAGGATTTTTAATTAAAATGTGTGATTAGCTCGATGTTTTCATTAATAAAATTTGCAGGTTAGGTGGAAAATAAGTTTGACCAGCTCTAGCA